GTTGCTCTTCTCTGTACTCTTTCTAGAGTCTCAGCATCTTTTTTACATCGTGGTGACCAAAACTGGATGCAGTATTCCAAGTGTGGCCTTACTAAGGCATTGTAAAGTGGTATTAATACTTCACGTGATCTTGATTCTATCCCTCTGTTAATGCAGCCCAGCACTGTGTTGGCTTTTTTGGCAGCTGCAGCACACTGCTCACTAATATTTAAGTGATTGTCCACTAGGACTCTGAGATCCCTCTCACAGTTACTACTATTGAGCAAGGTACCCCCTATACTATACCTGTACATTTGGTTTTTCTTGCCTAAATGTAGAACCTTACTTTTTTCACCATTGAAAAAATCTCTTATTAAAAACCTCCAGTGAGGAAAACCCGTCTGAAGGCAAAATCTAAAATACAGTTTAATGCTCTGGGCAGAACAAGTTACGAGAACGTTTGGGAACCGTGCTTCTGATTCTAATAGCTGGTGTTACAGTATATGAAACATTATACTAAAGACAGTTAAAATCCTCCAAAAATGGAAAAATAAATCTTTTCTAGAAGTGTAGTGGGTTTTTAATAGGACAAATGAACAGTGCCTATGTACTCTAATGACACTGCCACCCCCACCTCACCACTCAAATATTCTCCTCTAAGAGGCTCACATGCATTTAGTGTCTTCTAAACCTTCTTAAAGCAGTCACACTTGCTCCTGGGAGGCAATCAACAACATTTGCAGCAACCCCGATGATTTCAAAAGAATAAGAAGCCATGCAGTGAGATCATCACACAAACCCCACACTTATGTACTTGCATCCCCATGTCCAGCAGAAGTAAGCTGTGGCATTTGTGTGATGAAGTTGCCACACCTTTGCTCCCTCCCCCCCCCCCATGGATGCAAGTGCGGTTGTTTCACTGAGATCTTTTCTAGTATTTAAAGCATTAAATTGCACATCATAGTAAAGAAAACAACGTGAGGCAGACTCACTGCACATTCAGTAGGACTCTTCTCAGCACCAATTGAGAGACATCCAGAAACAATGAACTGTGTGGAAAGAAGGAAAGTAGTAAACATTTGCACTGCAATTAAGAGAACATCCTTTCCAACCTTCACTAGACAATCTCATGGTGGTAGAAATGAAGAGGAAGATTGGTACCATAAAATGCTTTGTCAAGAAAGAAAAGCTATCTGTAAACTAAGCAGTGGGATATAACCCAATATCTGTCCTGGAGGTCAAACATTTAATCAAGGATGGGAGATAAGAGTCCCTTCTGCTAATAATCCATCTGAGTCCACAATAAAAACACTCGGTTTTAATCTGACACAACAGGGAGGAAGAGACAGAGACAAAAAAGAAAAGAAAATAATAGATCCCATAAAAATAGAGAGAGGGGGTATATCAGTAAGAATAGGAGTGGGGAGAACCTTTCACTTTTAGCTCCATTATTTTATTTAAGAAATTTTATATGGCCGCCCAACTCACTCTCAGTGACTCTGGGCTGTCTATAAAGATATTTGCTTATACACTTTCTATTAATACACAAATCTCTATGAAAAAATATTGTCCTATCCTGGTATCTGAGAAGTCTACCTTTTCAGGCAAATCAGTCTTACCTCCATCTATATCGTCTGTCTGTCTGTCTGTCTGTCTGTCTGTCTGTCTGTCTGTCTGTCTGTCTGTCTGTCTGTCTGTCTGTCTGTCCATCTACCCATCCCAATCTTCCATCTTCTTCCAAGATCTTGAAAAAAAAGCCTGTTTCTGCTCTGTCTCTTGGTAGGCAGAAGTTAAGGGGCATTTTCATGCCTTCAAATTATGGATTCTTTGCTTTGGAGCCATAGAACAGTACAATCTGTGCTCAATTATGATTCATTTTAGGGCTGATATGAAAGTATTTGCCATATTTTTATATTTCATATTAAAAAGCCAGTTTCTTAGCCTCCCTTGTCCTCATTTGCCAACATTACACTTTAGCCCTGCTGGCTGTGCTAGTAAATCTGATAGTTTTTATCAACATCATGGACAAAAATCTACTCAACATAAGCACAGCAAAAATTCAGTGGCACTGACCAAATGAGGACATGGGTAGTGAGGACAAAAATGTGATTGTTCAGTGAGACCAATCTTTTTTATCAATAATAATTTGTGTTGATTTATAGAGAATATTCATTGCAGCCCTAGTCAGATAAAGAAAATAAATGAATTTTGGGAAGTGATTTTGCTAATGTAGTTGTGGGTAATTCTCTATATGAGGCTTACATAGTCTTTGAGTTCTTCCCTTGCTACTTTTCATAAATGCACAGTTGTGATTATCAGATTCAGAGTCAGCCCCTAGTCAGTTAATAACCATCCTAGTCATTTTAATTTCCACTGCAGCACTGTGGGAAAGTAGAGCTGCAGATCTGTAGGGAAGCCAATACCTAGGGTCCTGTTGACCAAGGAGGGGTTCCAAGATAGGGCATTTGGTACAGCCAGCATCAAACCTGGCACCAGCATTATTATTAGTTGCTGGAAAACAGGAGAGAGTCACAGTTTTGATTTCAGACTTAGGTCGCATGTTAATTTAAGCAAACCTCTTAAGCCTCATATGGGAATGTATACAACAATACAGAAGAATGTTGGGAGGATACTAATGAAAAGTGAGCCAGGTGATCAGACTGATAACTGGTCTGAGACATATGGAGAAATGAAGTTGTGCGAACAGAGACAACTACATGAACACATGTATAAGAATATGGACACCTACGCAGGAAATTGATGGTGAAACTGTTCAGATGACAGGCACAGAACTGAACAGAAGTCAGACTTAGCATTGACAGTACCTCACACTGCTGCTTCACACACAAACAGAATTTGCTGGATGCAGTTCTCCTAAAGCTAGCAAAGAAATATCTGGGTTTATGTATAATCTGTTAGAGATTGTACTTTCCAGGTTTGTCTTATTATACGCAAAGTGCCTTTGCTGTTAAGCATGAAGATATGAACACATAATTTACATTATAAAAACAAAGACTTAACCACAAAAAGTTTTGGACAAAACTTCCATGGTATATCTTCCTGCTCCCCACACAACACTATTCAATATTTATTAGATTATTTCTATATCTTTCTATTTGCAAGTGTGCATCATTATGCCCAGGTAGACTTTGCTGAGGTCTCTGGTCTTTTCTCTCTCTCTGATAATTATTCTTAGAGGATGCTCAAATTATCGGTTACATCATCTGACAGTTTTTTTTTCACTCTCTCTGTGCATCCAATGCATCGGGTTATATAGGAATGCTATTTATAGTACAGGATTTAATAAAACAGAACAAAGAATAGAGCTTAATTTCTAGGATGAAAAGGCACAACGAGAATGAGGAAATAGTGAAACAGTGTGTGTTTGTGTTTGTGTGTTGCAAGACAGGCCAGTTCCAAGTCAAATGCCAAATAAACATTTGATAAAAGGAAATTTTGCCACTTTCTGGATTGACTGGATTTTGTCCTCAAACGAAAGTCATTTTGTGAACAAAATAACTAGAAGGCCCTCATATGTGTTCATTAACCCTGATCTTAAAGCTGTTTATTTCAAATTAAATTAAATCTATTAAGATTTGTATTCTAAGAATTAGGTTTAGGGGGCCCAAGAGCTGGTGGTAGTACATAGCCCCCTGAATGGGGATTAAAGTATTTTGCATTCTACATGAGTGAAAAATAAATAAATTAAATAATCCAAGTGAGAGAACAGCATGTTGAAACTTTTCCAGGATAGTTGTATGCTGACATCCCGTTCACTGTAGAGAAGATGATTGGCACACCATTTTGCCCCAAAATTGCAGTAACAGAACCAAAAGGCTGTGCTAGAGTTATATCTGAGCTGCAAACATTTAGACAACAAGTAGGTGCAGTAGAGAGCTAGCAGTTTCTATATCGTTCTGCTGTGTCCAATAATCACCTGGTTGACATTAAAATGAAGAAATGTCCCATTCACCACAAAAGTATGAATTATCAAGGACATGATTTTCTCAGCTGAAACATACTCTATGAATAAAGAAAAAGGATGCTTCTGAATTGTGGTTTGGAAAAATTACTGCGGACACCTTGGACCACAAGAAGAGTAAATAAACCATTCAGTATTAGATGAAGTTAAAGTAGACTGCCCATTGGAAGCATTAATAATGAAGCTAAAGCTTAGCTATGTTGGACATCTTATCCAAAGGTCACTGGAGAAGACCCCCATGCTTAGAACAAGCTGGTTGACCAAAGACAAGGTGGTTGGATATCCTCTCAGATGATACAAGTAAGAGATTACAAGAACTTAAAGAAACAACTGTTAACAGACAATTGTGGCAACATGATGCTTATCAGGGCAACAACCGTCAATGTGACTGAATGAGGAAACAGCAACAGTGATTACTCAGGCAACCCAGAGATGGTAGCTAAATCACAGTTATTTACTTCTTATATTTATACTTCAGCCCTTCTCTAAGAGCTCAAGGCATCTTACAGAGGGATTTCCCTTTATTTTATGCCCACATCAGCAATCCTGTGAGGTGGGTTAGGTTAAGGACTGACTGACCCAAAATCATCCAGTGTGGACCCAGAAACACTTCTAGTACGAATGAAGTTCTGTTCCTACTGCAAACCGGTTGGCACCATTTACAGTCCATATGTGACCAAGACCTTTCACACTACTGAATTAAAGTGTTCCCCACACATTCTTGAGGCATCAGAAAAATAAATATACTGGCTTCAAATTTGTTCTCTCCATTACTCACCCCTATCCTGCCTCTATTGCTTCTGGTTCAGTGCACTGCCATCACCTGATTCCTCTTCAAAAATGGGTGAGAAAGAATTTCCACACCCTGAACATTTTATGAGAATAAAGGAGAGGACATTATTTGAACAAAAGGATGACTTATATCTGTCATTCAGGACTGCTTATAAGGCAAAAGGAACACAGAAGAAATAACAAATTGCCAAGGTGTGTTTGCATCCAGATTTGGCAGAAGTGCTCTTGATAAGCTAAAAATGAAGTGATGGGGGATGATTAAATAAATTAGATCTATGGGTTTAGCCATTCTCCTGCCTTCACCTTTCAGATCTTCCAAACTGTCATCTGCCTTTGATCCCGCAGAACACTATTCCATAGGATCCGAGAACCAGGTCTTTGGAAGAGCTGCCTTCTTTCAGCCTGTAGAGCAGGGCTTTTCAACCAGTGGTACAGGTACCACCTGTGGTACATTGGCACCTGGCAGGTGGTACGCGACCATCCTAGAAAAGTGGGAGCAGGGGAGGTGAATGAGCTGAACCGGTGGCAGTACCGCACAAGCCTGAGCGAGAGATGGCTGGAGATGCAGGGATGTCAGGGCTCAGCGGAAGTGCCAGGATCCAGCTGGAGTTCGGCGCTGATCCTGGCGCTTCTGCTGAGCCCAGAAGAAGCACCAATCAGTTGGAATGTTGCAGCATCTCCAGGGTCTTGTGATTTACATTCAGATGCTTGGCAACTGATTCATATTTATGATGGTCACAGTGTCCCAGGGTCATGTGAAATGACCAAAACCTGCTGCAACCACCCAGCAGATGGGGGGAATAAAAACCAAACACCCCCCACCCCACCCCCGCTGCCAATCCTCAACAGAAATGCTCACAACAATGGAAACCTCGGACAGGAGGAAGAGCGCCACCGGGTGGGCAGGCAGGTGTCTTGCTCGGCTGTGGCTTGGGGGGCACTTTTTTCAGTGCCATTGTAACTTCGAACAGCCACTAAGTGAACGTAAGTCGAGGACTACCTATACTTTATCACTTTTTTCTTTTTTCCTTTTTTTGGGTCATCAAGTTTTTGACACCTTGCTAGGCGACTGGTGGTACTCGGATGTTGCCATATCCTAAAAGTGGTACAATGGGTGAAAAGGTTGAAAAGCCCTGCTGTAGAGAGCAAGGATAACCTGAGCTCTCTAAACTTGCTAAAACTGCTACACTAAGCCCAAGAGCAATGGCTGGCAGGTTTGCAGAGGAGTTGTCTGATGCAGCTAGAATCTCCTTCCCATTTCATGGCTCATCCCTCCTTCCATGGTGAGTTGGAGGGATCATTCTGTCAAAGCCAGATCTCCGAGACCAGAATTGACTAAAAGATCAGATGAGTACAGGTGAGAGGCAAATTTGTAAGATCTGGACTCTCCCATTGCCCCAAACAGAATAATCCTGGGAAATAGTGTCCAGTCATACCAACCCTACACTTCAGCTAGTGAATGAGTGCTGGGCTGATTCCAATCCCTGAAGTCCCCACAATTGGCACCAACTGTTTGATCAAGCATACTGATTGTGCTCACAGGAAAATTGCCACAAATTTAAGAGGAAAATGATATATTAATATTGATATTAATAGTAATAGTAATATCTCATCCCTCACTTCACTCTGAATTTAAATAAAATGAATTTCAATACTTTTCAGGTGAATTGGAAAAAAAAAACACCCTTGAGGGTTTGCTCTCTGAAGCTATAGAAAGGGGACCGGGGGGGGGGGGTCTGAGTTTTAAAAAATGTCAACAAGGTACTGAAATCTCAGCAAGGCTTTTCAACTGCTGTTCTTCTGCTGTGTGAAAAGGTAGCAGTTTCGCAATTTGTGGGCTCTTTTCCCAACAGCAGGGACAATGATTGAGGGTTGCTATGGTGGCTGGGTTAGAGAAGCTGGAGAGCAATCAACACTGCTTAGAGACAGGAAGAGGATGCTGTACTGCTATGGAAAGGGAGGTAGGAGAAATTGCAGTGGGTGGTTTGACTCCAGAAGATGGAAGATATGAGAATCCTTGCCAATAGGAAAACAGACTGCCTACAAGGGTTGCAAAGCTTCAGTGATTCCAAGGAAAACACCAGCCTTGTTGCTATCACTAATAAAATGAGGCAGGCTTATTTGGCTCCCAAAATAGATGATGGTGAGAGCATTGGTGATGATTTGTTAGGTCTGCCCACTCCAAAAGATAGTATAGATACACAACTGATCCCTAAATGACACAAATGTATATGTGTGGAAGAGTATTTTAACCTTCTGGGAAGGGAAATAAGCTGTCCTTTAAAAAAAAAGAATTGTAATTTTGCAATTTGTGACCTGCCTCTTCGCATCTCCCCAGTTTAAAAGGCATATTAACAAACTGGAGCAAATGGAGAGAAGGGCAACCAAGATTGTGAAAGAATTGGAAATCAAGCCCAAGAGGAGTGGTTCTAGAAATATTTAGCCTGAGAAGGGACATGATTGCTGTCTTCAAATACTTGATGGACTATAGCAATTTCCAATTATTCAGGAGGAAAAGACTAGAATCAATGGGATGAAACTTCCAGGATTTAGAGACAGCTTAGATATTCCAAAGAACTTCCTGACAGTAAAAACTGTCAATCAGTGGGACTGAATTCTTCCCCTTCAGTGCAGGTTTTCAACTAGAGGCTGGATAGTCATCTGTTAAGGGTGAATTCTGCAATATGCAGGGGGGGGGGAGGGGGTTGACTTGATGTCCACTTAGGCCGCTTCCAACTCTGTGGTTCTTTCATACATGCAGCATATTGAAATTGCACTTTAAAGCAAATGATAAGCATGTAGTAGAAGAAAAACAAGATATGTTTCTTTGGCATGAAACTGAATCCACATCCTAATGCTATAAAATCTCAAAACAATGGTGATTATATTTAGAATTTATACTCCTTTCCTTTTTTTAGGAGAATAATATTTCCTCCTCAAACTAATGATGCTTTTAACAAAATGGAAAAAAGACATTTGGGCAAAAGTGAAAGTAGTTCAGTTTAGCAAGAGACGTGATAGGTATATAATAAAAAAAAAATTACAAACTAAAAATGTGGACGCTTCAAAACGAAGGAAAGAAGGAAGGACACACAACTTCACAGCATACAGTATTTCTTTTGAACAGACAGGACAGTTTTCAGCAAGAACTAATGATGACTCATGACAGATCAGACCCTTTTGAAGAAATCAGGCAGGCACCTGAAGCTTTGTTCCACAACATTGACAGAAATCTCAGCCAGTGCTGGTTGAGAGGGGAGGAAGCATCACTGAACTCATTGAGAAGGAAATGTACAGGTAATCCTTGACTTACGAGCCTTTGAGTTGCTAATTGAGTTTTGCTCCATTTTAAGACCTTCTTTGCCTCAATTGTTAAGTGAATCACTGCAACTGGTAAGTTAGTAACTCAGTTGTTAAGTGAATCTGGCTCCCCCATTGACTTTGCTTATGAGAAGGTCGCAAAAGATGATCACATGGCCCTGGGTTACAGCAACGGTCATAAATATGAACCAAGCATCTGAATTTTGATCATGTGATCATAGGGATACCGCAAAGGTTGTAACTGTAAAAAAACAGTCATAAGTCACTTTTTTCAGTGCCATTGTAACTTTGAGCAGTCACCAAATGAACTGTTGTAAGTCGAGGAGTACCTGTTTAGTTAATCATATAATCCAGGAACTATTTCCTTCAGCGCCTGATGTCTTGTCTGTTTCTCACCCGGACCTCCCACCACCCTTCCTCCCTTCTTCATATAATCTCTCTGTCTCCTGCCCACCTGCTCTTCCACCTCTCCCCACCTATCTGGAGGGAAAGGGATTTTCTCTGGTCTGTGATACTCACGGATGCTCCTCCCAAGAAGGGAATCTCTCCAGATACAAAGAATGAGGTATATACACTGGACAGGGTGCTGAGAATGATCCCAAAGCTAATGTGTATGAAGCCAGTCATGATCTGGATGGTCTGTGGGAACAATCAGGGGGATAATACTCGGCATTGGATGGATTAAAGTCACACATGCACACAAACACACACACACACACACACACACACACACAAACACCCTTGAATGATTACACTGACTTCAAAGGGTTGGCACCGAGGATCTCCTGTCCCATATGGCTACTACCTATTTTATCTTAAAGCAGCCTTTGCCATCCTGGAGATTTAGAGATGTGTAGGAGCTCACCTCCCCGATTCACCCCGGCCAACTTGCCACAGCCAACTCTCCACAGCCAACTCGCCACAGCCGATTCACCACGGCCAATTCACCACGGGACAATTCGCCACGGCCAATTTGCCGTGGGATGCTATGGGACAAGAGTTACCCTAATATTGAAGAAATAGTGCAGGGGTGTCAAACTGCCAGCCCACGGGCCGGACGCGTCATCCGAAAGCCGTGCCCACCCCATTGCCGGCAATGGCAAAATCGGCCTGATATGTTGCGCAACGTCACGTGACGTCGCGAGTTTGACATATCTGAAATAGTGGGATAGAATCATTAAAGGAAGCCAAAGGAGGGACAAAATGAAATGCGAATGACAAAAATTAAAATATTTTAAAAATTATTTTAAATAATTAAATTGAATTGTTGAACTGTCCCACAATGAGTTGTCCTTTGGCGAATTGGCTGTGGTGATTTGGCCGTGTCAAGTTGCCCATGGCGAGTTATCCGATTTCACCCTTCATCTCCCACCCAGTTTAGCCAAATGTTTGGGAAGTTACCCTGGAGCCTCTTTCCACTAACCAGGCACTTCTCTCTCCTCACTGCTGCCCTCAATTTTAGGTTGCAGATTATCAGCTTCTAAGAGCTCCTAAAGATTAGTGAGAATAATTTATGACTGCTAGTGAAAAGAAATCTGGGGTTTATAAATCTGTTTAATTAACCATTCATTTTGGCAGCAACTAGTAGACATCCCCTCCAAAGTTAGCCCCCGTCCTATTGACTTCTGCAAATCTCTTAAAATGAGGTTTTTTTCAGCAGGCCTGGGGATCCCTTCAATAACAGGGACCCTACAAGTTGGCTGTGCTATGTATGAAATTCTAATGCAGTGGTGGTGAACCTATGGCATGGGTGCCAGAGGCGGCACTCGGAGCCCTCTCTGTGGGCACACGTGCCGTGACCCCCTCACCAGCAGCCCCCCTGGAGGAGAGTCACCCCCAAGTGTGGCCCACGTGGAGCAGTGCAGCCAAGGACATGGCAGCCAGGCAGCGTAGACAAGACTCTGCCCTCACGCCCCATTGTGCACAGTTGATGCTGAGGGGCGCGGGCAGAGACCGTGGCCGCCATGGCGCTGCTGGGCGATCTGCGGCAGGCCCTGGAGGCGGTGAGTGGCCCTGCGGGCAGGTGGGGTGGGGCGGAGCGGGGGCGGGATGGGGTGGAGCAGGGGCAGGGCCAGTTTTGGTGCACTTGGTCTCTAAAAGGTTCGCCATCACTGTTCTAATGCATTCTCCCAAGATCTGTGCTTAATGACCTGCACAGTCCTCATTTAATGATAGCAATTGGATTGCTGGAATTGCCATCGTTAAGTGACATGGTCATGTGACATTGCACTTTATGCCTGAATCGCTTAGCGATAGCAATTCTGGTCCCTATTGCCATCATAAATCGAGGACTACCTGTATATAAATTTGAAAAGCTAAATAAATAATAAAATCCAGGTGACTCTGTGTCTGAGGTTTGGGAAGGATCATTAGCCCAGAAGAGTTTGTAGAATGAACTGAACTACTTCTAAGGCTCTCGGTGCTCTGATCTCCTCATTATATGGTCCTTAGCTCAAACAGGGTCAGCCAGAGGTCACAGAATGGTTTTACACTAGCTGTGCCTAACTGGTTATATTGGAGTCACCTAGTCTGTATGAAAGGAGGAATTTATGGGAGCATTCTGGTGTTCCTATCTGCTTGGGGCCAGTCTGTAGTTGCCTGATGGACCATCTTCAGATGCATCACAGTGCTGTGGAAAAGGATCTGAACTTTGACAAGTAAACATAGATCCTCTTCACACAGAGAACAGCTTAGGCCTTTTTATTGGCTGCATTGTTGCCTTAGGTCAACCAATCATAATGTGGCCCTTCCTGGCTTACAGCTTCGGTCTTCACTATTTCCTAAGCAGCCAAGCAAAGTAATTCTTTATGGTGAAGAAGGTTGCCATAGAGAATATAAGGACTGTGTTAAAATCCAGCTTTTCATTCAACCCAGATTTCACAAATATAGTATTCATATTTTTAGGATATGGAGGATGGGAACAGATCCCCTTCATATAGTACACCTGAAAAAAAATTTATAGCCTTTCTACTTTGGTTGGTGGTTTATATACTGTAGACCTCACAGGGGAGACATTGGGAGTCATAACAATGGGTGTTGAAGCTACTTGGAGCTTCCAAGAAGATGCCAGGAGAAGACTTTCCAGGAGCAGCTTTTTACTATCAGCTGGCCTAGGCTGATTTGAGCACTCCTGTCTTTATTTTCGGCCTTTTTTGACAATAATCAAAAATCTAGAGTAGACAAATACAGAAGAAGAATACAACAAGCCCTTGATTTACTATAATTGGGGAGAGAATATCTGGTATTCTCAAGTGTCTGTTAAAATTCAAAGTATATCATTTGTGTCAATCTATGTTATTTTTATAACATCAATTTCATCACTCATAATATCCCATAGATATTATCAAATTAAAGTTAAATTTAATTGCCTTGATCAATTATTTTGGATGCAGCAGTCTCGCCTATTATTTCAGGGGATAATTGGATGGAAATTTTATTAGTTGCATTCAAAGTCCATTACATAAATTGAGAAATTCTGGATTATTCAATTGGAGCAAGCTTCATTGTACTAAGGAAAGGAAACACTTATTTCTACTTGATTGTTACATTTTACTTCTCTTTGTGAAGGAATTCCTAATATATTGCCTCTGGATACAAATATGGAATATGGGTGTTTAAAATTTCATTTCTCTTCTTTAGATGGCAAATGAATTTTTATGCGAAATTAAGCAGGGATTTGGTTTTTCTATTTTTGTTTTGTTCTGTTGTGGTGTAATTTTTGTTTCTTTGTTTGTTTATTGTCGTTTTTTTTTAAAAAAAAAAAATCCAATGCTTTGGGGATGGATAGATGGATGGATAAGGGGAAGGGGAAGGGGGAAGAAAGAAGGCAGATTTTTCAGAAGAGAGTCCAATGTTTGGGTAAAAGCTATATAGTTACTGTAGTGTTGCCAGCCAGGCTGACAACATTGTTTGGGTGGATTATATATGGGAAAATTTCTCATTATCCTCATGGTAACATGTGCAAAAGATACTGGATTGGAGTCAGCAAACACCAGACAATGAGTCTGGTAGGTTTGGGATTGCTTGATTAATTTTTCTAAGTTAAGAGATACTGATGCATCAGATGAGGTTGGCAGCTGTCTAGGAGAGCAAGTGCCAGTCAAAGCAAATCAGTCAGAACGTATCTAAAGTGGCAACATGCCATATTGATGTCTTTAGGCATTCCTTTGTCCAGGGCAAGCTGAAAGACAGTGAGCAACAGAAAGACAAAGGCATGGAATTGCTCATAAGCAGAGAGGACCTGGAATGGCAACTGTGAGGGAGAACAAGCCATCTGCTCGCATCTTCCCCACTAGGCCTGGTGCTTCTCCGTAAAATGATTATTGCTAAATGTGACAGTAGAATATACTTTTGCCTAGGCAGATCTACCTTCTGCTTTGTGTGTGCATGGAACATTTTTTTTTTTAGGCAGAATATCCGGTTCAAAAACAGATAGAATCTGCCATCAACTAACGGGAAAAATGTTAGGATAACCCTGATCAAAGTTTCTGGATTTTCTTAATAATAATAATAATAATAATAATAATAATAATAATAATAATAATAATAATAATAATAATAATAATAATAATAATAATAATAATAATAATAATAATAATAATAATAATAATAACATGATATTTATTGTCTCCTTTTGTTTTTTGTTAATTATATAATCTGCATCCCTTATTTCTTTTGGAACATCATCTTCATTTTAACGCTTTGATGCACTGAAGGAGAAAACAAGCCAACTTCTGCAATTAGCTGGGAAGAAAAAGTGAATATATAGTTCCTTCCACCTGAGCACAGCTTGGAAAAACAAGGCAATGTGCTTTCACTGCTTTTTCCAACCTGAGTTTTTTTTCTTTTCTTTCTGTATTTGGACCCAGAGCAATCTTACAGCCTAGCTGATATTTCACAATCCCAGTCATCCCAGTTAGAGGCTCTGTTGCCTTCAAAAAGGGACTTAGTGGTTGGGATCTGGGCAATCCCAACAGAATACCACACCTATTCTTAGAAAAAGCACCTTTATGTGCTTCTGTAGTAGCAAAAAAAAAGCACTGGCTCAGTTGCAGGATTTCCCTTTATAATGTAGCCATTTATTTATTCAGAATTTCTGCATGGCTGATACCCTGTAGAGAGTGCATAGCAATTTCTTTACAAATACAAATGGAAATGGTTTTATGCTTAAGCTCCAATCTTTAAATGTATTTTGTCTCCAGGAAAAGAAACCTCGACAGGGCTACTTGTGATGTGCTCTTGAAGAACAGTGCTAAATGCTTTTATTTCCCCCAATCATTTATCACTGTGGGGGAGACAGGGAAGAAAAAATGGAGGGTGGTGGCAGGGAGGGTTAAGAGAATGCTATTTACCTCTATCGGCAAAAAGCATGCATATTTTGGCTTAATTTATACAAGCTATGGCAGATTTGCACAAACCATGTCTCTATGCTTTGAAGATTGGGTTTTTTAAAAAATTAAAACTTAATAAATTCTAATTTTAGCCTTTTTTTAAAAAAAAAAGTAGGCTGAGCACTGTGTGGACAATATGGATTAAAAAATAAAAATCATCCCTCTGGGCATGTGTAATTACAAATAGAGGGACTGTTGGATTAGTTTTCTGGGCAGTCCAGAACCTTGATCAACCTATTACTGGAAGTGTTCTCCCAATTAGGACCCATGTAGCCTAACTTTTCCATTAACAGAATACTTGTGGAAGCTTAAAAAGGCATAGAAATGATGGGCATTTTTAGGTGGCTGGGCTTAATATTTGGTATTCAGAGCCAAACCACTTCTGAGCAAACAGGTTCCATTTATACACTACAAAGCAATTCTCAGCTTGAACAGTGTCTCTGTCGGCAGCTTTCAACTGCATTTTAATACATTTTCTTCCTAGAATGACATTATCCACTTCTCCTATGTACTTCTTAGGGCATTGACTTCAGTGTTTAATCTTGGGCTGTTTCTTCTTCTGCTGCCCCAAGCCAGATACTGAAGATAGTGCCCAGTCTTCACAACAGAGAGCTATTCTGAAGTTGTGGGTCAGTCAGATCATTTCTTGCTCTCCTTCCTGGCACCAGACTTCATTCCTACTTCTTGGACTCTTTAGTATTAGAATGCATACAAATCTACATCTGTTGGCAGAAGAGCTGTTTTCTCAGGAAGGTGTTCTAGCCAAATGGGTCATTATTTTCCCTAAGTGGGGACGTGATTGATTCCCAGGTTCTTTACATTGATTTAGTTTAAAGCTTTTCTCTCATTCCAAATACACCCCTCATTTACACATATGCACATGCACCAGAGAATCACACTGCTTAGCCTAAATCAAGAGGGCCAGTACCATGCAGGAGAAACCCACCCCCAACTCTTCCATCCACCCCCCCCCAACCTTGCCCAACCCAGCTCCCTGCCCAGAGGGGGTTCTCCCAAGCTTCTGTCACTCACCCCCAGCACTCGGTTCTTCCCTTTGGGAATAGTTTCCACTGTGTACATCACAGTCCTTCTGCCCAGCCGGAAGTTCCCCATTCCCTGCATGGGAGCCAGCTGGCGTGTGTGCTCCCAGGCCCTCGGGTCCCTAGCAACTGAACCGTCCGCTGCATCAGCCAGACCGCCTGAACATGGATAACAGCTCGCTTAGCCCGGCTGCTGAGCTCCACCACACGCTGTATCCCAGAGAAAGGGGGAAAGTGGTCTTATTGGCTTCTGTCAGCAATGATGTCACAGGCAGTCAGAGATGCTGCAAGAGACTGAGGGGGTAGGGAGGGGAAGGTCTGGCTGGTAGGTAAAGCCGCCTTCTTCCTAAATTACCTTCTCAGCCAGCAGAGAGGCACCCCTGAGTCATGGGATTTACGCAGAGTGGATTTCTGAGCAAGTAGAGATTTGTGCTGTAATAGCCATCCACACAGGTGTCTCTCTCACAGACAGAAGAGAAGGCAAATTATTTTTTAAAAAGTGGCTGGGAACCGCCTTCCGTAGTCAGTAAAGAAAAGTTCCCTGAATCTTCTCCATGGTGGTATTAATACCTCTGAAAATGCTGCTGATTGGTTTAGATTTCACGCACACATTTTCCCCTTTCCTCTTCCTGCACCCCACCATCCATTACAATGCCTTGGAATACTGCATCCAGTTTTGGTCACCAGGATGTAAAAAAGATGTTGAGACTCTAGAAAGAGTACAGAGAAGAGCAACAAAGATGATTAGGGGACTGGAGGCTAAAGCATGTAAGGAACGGTTGCTGGAATTGGGTATGTCTAGTTTAACGAAGAGAAGGACGAGGGGGGACATGATAGCAGTGTTCCAATATCTCAGGGGCTGCCACAAAGAAGAGGGGGTCAAGCTATTCTCCAAGGCACCTGAAGGCAGGACAAGAAGCAACGGGTGGAAACTGATCAAGGAGAGAAGCAAGCTAGAACTAAGGAGAAATTTCATGACAGTTTAGGACAATTAACCAGTGGAACAACCTGCCTCCAGAAGCTGTGAATGCACCAACACTGGAGGTTTTTAAGAAGAGACTGGACAGCCATTTGTCCGAAATGGTATAGGGTTTCCTGCCTGAGCAGGGGGTTGGACTAGATGACCTCCAAGGTCCCTTCCAACTTTATCATTATTATTATTATTATTATTACCGATGGACTAAAACCAGAGAGAGTCTGGTTCAAATGCATCTTCTGTCATGGAACAAGACCTCTTTGCAATATTTCCAATTTGCTTTTTGGAAGATTTCATTGGCACCTTCAAACATCTGGGCTTAGGTATCTTACTTTTGTGTTATTTGTAGAGATTGCTTTCTACTGGAAGTGTCCTGGAGCAACGACCACAATGACTGCGCTTTTTATAAAATGAATGAATGGCGTCTCCTTGTTGATGATAAACTGAACCTCACTTGACTCTGATATTCTGTAAGCAGCAGTAAAGAAGCATCTTCAGGGCGGTGAATACCTTCAGCTCTTTTCACATCTTGAGTTTGAATAAACTTTGCAAGGAACCATTTGAACTTGTTCTCTTAATTTTAATTCAACCTTAAACTGAGATATATGTAGTGTGGTGATTATGGTGTACAACCTACTGGAAACTTTAGCCCACTGTTTTCCCACGCAATCTATCTTACAGCATGTTGTTGTGAGGATAAAATGGAGATTCCCATTAAACTACATTGAGTTCCTGGAAGAATGGTGGAAGATAGATAAATAGTTTTCCTCATTTACAGATGTGCCATGGATGTACACATGATTACTGAGTCGTGGTGGTGCATGGTTAGAATGCAGTATTGCAAGCTAACTGCCCACTGTCAGGAGTTTGATCTTGACTGGCTCAAGATTGACTCAGGAGGTTGGTAAAATGGGGACCCAGATTGTTGGGGGCAATATGCTGGCATTCATAAACTGCTCAGAGTGTGTGGTATATAAGTCTAAGTGTTAGCGCTATGCTATTAGTGGAGAGCAAATGCTAGGTGTTGCAACACCATCATACAAATGTCATGACTTAAGTACTTACATCAGCAGTCCGGATACAAATACATGGTGGAACATTGGCAGAATGGTGTCACCTAATGCATATCATTGTGCTGGCACCATTACAGGTAGTTGTAGACGCTACTGGGTATATGTGTATTAATTTGTTAAAAAATAAAATAATAAACTAGGACCATACATCAGTGATACAGTTAAGATTTGTGATATTTCTGAATTCAATATTTCCATGGCAACATCTAAAATAGTTGGGAACTCCCTCCCCACATACACACACATGGAAAAGAAAGATAACACTGCTCACAAAAATTGAATAGCTGAAACTGCTGAGTAGCAAGGACCCTTAAGTGTATACAGTTCCAGTGATAAACATAGCCTCGTATTAGGGCTTTTATGATGACATTTCAAAGTGTATCCTAATTATCTGACTCATGGGCCATCATGAATGTGTAAAGACTCCCTTGAGTTGGAATCAGTAACTGGTGCCTTAATAGATGTGTTCAGGTAGGGTTCTCCCCCCCAGTTTTTTGCAACTGTCCTCTTCCAGGAATGGAGGTGGTTCCAGGTCTAGCCTGCAGGTCTGATATTTCCTAGTGACCTGCCTACCAAATCTTATTCGACTAAATTTTTCAAGGTCAGCTCAGGTTAGTTATATTTAAGGGTTGAGGAATTTGACACATAACTTAACAAAAACAGGTGCAATTTCCCTTTTGAACAATCATATGTAGGGCTGGGCTGTAAATCTATTAAAAGCTTAATTCCTCCTTTGATTCCAGAAATGTACAATTGCAGACAAGCTAAGTCACTCTACCAATTTCCATCCTGTGCTTTATTGAACATTTACTTTGGACAGAGGCAGATTTTATGTATTTATGGAAGCCTCCATATAATCCAGAACACTGTGGTGTCCACGATCCAGTTCTCATTAAGGCCTTTCAGTGTCATAGTCATCCTTGCAAAGCCTTCTTCTAAAAAGACCTTTACCTGCATGCTTCGCAAGCCCAGGAAAGCTATGTATAATGTATAATATATAATGTAATGAATTGGAGAGGAGCTGAATGTTTTACATCTGAGAAAATCACTGGATTGATTCTGGCAATATCAAAAATATACACAGTCTTATTGTGCTGAGGTAACTCAGGTGTAAATACAGTAAACAGTGGTTTGTATTAAATGTGGTTTATATTACTCACTATCTATAATACACTAAAAACAAGATACATATATGTGGTCATTCAGCAAGTTCCAATACACAGCAATTACAGCAGGAAATAGACAAGAAAGACTGTAGCAAGGCCTTCCCTTTTTATACTCAAGCTCTTAAAGGGAAACAGACTCCTGCTGAGTCCTATCATTGCATCATTCATCTCACATTATACAAGCTGGTTAGCTTCTAAATCATTACCTTGACAAAATACTAAGTTGCAGGTCATGAAACCAGAATGAGGCTTTCATCCCCTGACAGCAATACTGCCTTACACTGAATTCCTGATTCTCTCAGATGGCACCCACACAGCACTAGCAATAGCACCAGCACTTAGACTTATATACCACTTCACAGTGCTTTACAGCCCTCTCTAAGCTGTTTGCAGAGTCAGAATATTGCCCCCAACAATCGGGGTCCTCATTTTACCACCCTCAAAAGAATGAGTCAACCCTGAGCTGGTGAGAATCAACTGCCGAAATGTTGCCAGTTGGCAGTAAGCAGAGTTAGCCTGCAATACTGCATTTTAACCATTGCACCACCACGGCTTTTGCTGTCTTTGCCTCCTATCCAGGAGCTAGAAGGAGTTCATGCCACTCAAAACTTACTGTCCCTATACTGTGCCCTTACTGCACACCCAAAAAGCGGTGTTCGTACAGCTTTAATGTGCAACATTCCAAGAGCCATGACTGTGGCTCCCATGGCTGAAATTTCTGCTCCCACTTATTGTGAACCTCTTCCAGTTGGCATGTCCAATACTCTGGTTCACCCTCTGCAGGGCATTTTGATTTTCTTTCCTTTTATACAGACAATTAGGTTTTCTTTTTTTTTAAGTTCAACCAACCACTAGGTTGCAGCAAAGATTTAAAGGATATTTTTTAAAATCTCTTGGCTGCTGGGCAGTAGTTGTCTAGATTTGGGTGGCTAAAATGCATTAGAACTAATTTGGTGTATTGATTAAGGCAGGCCTTTTCAACCTTTTCACCCATTGTACCACTTTTAGAATATGGCAACATCTGAGTACCACCAGTCGCCTAGCAAGGTGTCAAAAACTTGATGACCAAAAAAAAAGGAAAAAAGTGATAAAGTACAGGTAGTCCTCGACTTACAACAGTTCGCTTAGTGTCTGTTCGAAGTTACAATGGCACTGAAAAAAGTGCCCCCCAAGCCACAGCCGAGCAAGACACCTGCCTGCCCACCCGGCGGCGCTCTTCCTCCTGTCCGAGGTTTTCATTGTTCTGAGCATTTCTGTTGAGGATTGGCAGTGGGGGTGGGGTGGATGGTGTTTGGTTTTTATTTCCCCCGTCTGCTGGGTGGTTGCAGCAGGTTTTGGTCACTTCACATGACCCTGGGACACTGTGACTGTCATAAATATGAATCAGTTGCCAAGCATCTGAATGTAAATCACAAGACCCTGGAGATGCTGCAACATTCCAGCTGATCGGCGCTTCTTCTGGGCTCAGCAGAAGCACCAGGATCAGCGCTGAGCTCCAGCTGGAGCCTGGCGCTGATCCTGGTGCTTCCACTGAGCCCTGACAGCCCCGAAGAAGCACCAATCAGCTGGAAAGCAGCACTGATCCTGGCGCTTCCACTGAGCCCTGACAGCCCTGCAGCTCCAGCCATCTCTTGCTCAGGCTTGTGCGGTGCTGCAACCAGTTCAGCTCATTCCCCTCCCCCGCTACCACTTTTCTAGGATGGTCATGTACCACCTGCCAGGTGCCAATGTACCACAGGTGGTACCCGTACCACTGGTTGAAAAGCCCTGGATTAAGGCATCAAGTCTATGAGTTCTAGTCCTATCTTAGCCATAAAATTAGCTGGAGGATCTTGGGCCAATCACTGACTTGCAGTGCTAGGAAGTA